GACACTTTAAATGGTAAAAATGCAAGCTGTGTTCTGAGCTGGGGAAAATTGCAAGTGTACTGTAATCTCATCTGATTGTCATCATCACAAGTGTAACAACTGCAGTGTTCCATCTTAATTGCATTCACAATTGACCAGTCATACAAAAGGTACCTCAAATAAAATTAATTCCTTAGGCTTTTTGTTGCACTGACAACATACAGGATTTTCAGCAACTGAAATGGAAAAATTGATTAAAATTACATTTGCTGCAATACTTGCATCAAGCAAACATCTTCCAGCCGTCCAAGGAGTTTTAGAAAGAGCCTACTTTTATTCTCCTTTGGCTTACTTGAAGACTTGGTATAAATTAATTTCAAGTGGGTTGCCTTCAATGGTATATTTTTCAAGGATTCAGGACAATATATTAGCATTGCTTCAAGGGCACCTCTGCTTCAGAAGACAGTGTGTAGGAGTTAAAATAAGGATGAGGGTCCATATGCCCCAATGGCAGACATTGTGTCCTTTGAAAGGGCACCAACCTACCTACTCTGACCATCAGAAAAAGAAAGGAAATTCAGCAGAAGTACTGAGGAAAAAGAGACAGACCATTATGAGTTGTGATCTGACTATAGTGAGGGAAGCTACATAGAACAGGAAGATTTATACTTATAAGGAGAGTACTGTAATTCCAATAACCTTTTCCACTCTTGCATAAATTGAGCCCCCAGGCACTTGATAAAAGGCATGCACAGCACTTTTTTTGAGCAGCTGGAGAGCTCCTACTGCATACTATTTTTTTTTAAACAGCTCTCCCACAAAGATTGTAGCAAAAATTGTAGCATTACTGTTTCAGAAAATCCACATTCTGGCTCAATGATAGAGCAGCCTGTGGTGGCCATATAAACAAAGTTGTTCTGTATAATTTAACAATTAATGGCCATTTTAAGGTGAGCCAGTTATAATTTTTCGTTCAGTGGATCCCTCTGTGATCACTCCTACCAGATCTGCATCAAGTGACTCAGACAAAGGAAGGCTGGTTACATAAACAGAAGGTAGGTGGCTTAACAACCTTGATCTTATCACAGACCTGTCAGTGGAGAGAACTCCATGTTACTGCAGAGCTAACTCACATGTCAATGCACTGGAAAGGAATCAGATATTTTCCACATCCTACAATTTGGGAATGCTTTGCAGGGTTATTTATTGAGCCAGTTCAGGTTACACAGAATAGCTTCAGAGCCTGCTGCTTCCAGTGCTTCACCTGCCTTGCCAAGGCCATGCTTGCTACTAAAGAGTCATGAGAAGAAAATTAAGAATGAAATCAATTACAAACTTGGAATGCTTCAGGATTTCAGAGCCTATACACTTTTGAAAAATAAAGGAGGAAAAGAAAAAAAACCATAAATCTTACCCTTTCGATTAACCTGACTGGAAGCAAAATTATTTTACAAATCTGACATCACTACACAGCCCAACACTCAGAGCAGCTCCATTTTGGCACTTGCTCATTCTTCAGTCAGCAGCAAACTTTCTAGCTCCAGCTTTTCTCTCTGCTCCAGCTTTTCAGGACACATGTAAAAAAAAAAATCTTAAGAAGCAACATTTAGCCTCTCAGATCACTGCAATTTACAGGAGCAACAGCTTAGACTGACCTAGCTATAAACAAGAAAGATACATCACAGCTGGACATCCTAACTGAAAGCCTTTGCCAAGCTTCCACAGGCTTTTGAAACACAACCTCTGATTTTCAACAGTGTTTCTACCTTTTTTCTCCCAACAGTGAGACAGAAGAAGCATGCCCACTCATTCTGCCAACTATGCATTGGAGGGACACCCCTGCTTCCTTGCTCCAACCTTAGATGTTGTCTTCTTTCCAGCACAGCTATTTCTAGAGCTTATTTACTAGTTCATTCAAATGTAGACTTTCAAATTTTGCAGCATAGTCTGTAGCTCAGTCACCCATGAAACTGCTGAACAGCCTGCAATTGTGTGCAAATCCACACTGTGGCTTGTGCTGCCTGAGCTCAGGTACAGTCATTAGCAACAGCACTTTAATGGGAAGCTCTTTAAATCTGCCAGGAGCATTTACCTGAAAAATATCTCTTCCTCTTCTTCTTCTTCTTCTTCCTCTGAAATAGTTTAATTAATACCAAATACTTTGGCTCGAGAAAGTGACAAAAGCAGGGATCTTGACTGTGAAACAGACACAGCATAGGACAAGAACTGGAAGGGAAGGCTTTTTTCCCTTCATTCATTTAATGGCCCTGCCCAGTGTGAGCCCCCGCTCCCACTCTATTCCCCAGGCTCAGGCAGCATTGTGCCCAGTAGATCTTTCAGAGGAAGCAGGGGACATGATCAGAGGGCACAATCCACTGACAGTGGCACACTTGGTGGTCTTCAGGGGGAAGGTGGATGGCTTGCCAGGCAGAGGGCTCAGGCAGATGCTGGCACCAGCCTGACTTGGGCAGCAGTATGTGAGAAGAGAGAGATGAAGGGGAAACTCCTGCCCTCAGCCATGAGAGCTCTGGTGTCAGCTGATGGCAACGAGCCCTAAGGAAGGGAGCTGTGCTGAGCCAGCCAAAGCATCTGCCCTTCCCCGCAAGCACCCAGGAAAAGGCTGCTCTGTGGTCAGGGCCAAGGCAATGACCCAGTGAGACGAAAGTGGCCCAGATGAAACACCCTCCCCACCCTCAAAGTAATCAGATTTGCTCTCTCCCATGACTTCCACATTTGCTGAGTGTACTTGGTCCCACGTGAGTTGCAACAGCAAGCAAAGCTATCTGCATAAGATTGTCATGCCTCTCCTGCTGCTGCAAATCCACAGATACCAGCAGAGGCATTACTCAGGCACCCGTGACCCTGCTCAGGGCTTCCACACCTCTTCCTCTTCCTCTCAGCCTGTCCAAAGGACAATTCTTCTCAGGGCCATCTTAGGATTTTCCCCCCAATGGGTAAACTCAAATCTCCTGTCCTTGGGCTGGGCAGCAAGCTGTGGCACCATGCATCCATCTATGCTGACAGGGCCAGAATGCCCATCCTTCCTCTCTGGATATGCATATAGCAACAAATACCAAACAGAAGGCACTCCGAGAAAAAAAAACAGCTTTCTCCTGCCTTCTCTTAACCTTCCTCCAGTCTCCAATCGATATATAATCTCTTCTACGTTTAGCTGCTGGGCAGGCCATACATGCCCTTCTAGACACCGTGGCCAGAGCACTCCTTTTCATCCCTTCATCATTGCTCTCTCCAGGAGATTTTGCCACTGGTCCCAGCACCCTCCTCCAACAAGAGGTGGCCCATTACTGCAGAAATCTGCTAAACAAGGATAGTGGGGGACCCACCCAGCAAATCACAGCAGGCAGTTCCAGCTCTGTGCATCACATTGCTGCTGAGTGTGGCATATGGGGAGACACTGTACCCTCCCTGACCATACAAGATGTGTGCTAACTGCTGAGAAGCACAGGATTCTATGAAGATTGGTTGGAAAATCCATTTCCAGGCAGGAAAACACTTCTGGAAGACAATAAATGCTCCTCCTGTTCCATATCAGCATGAAAGAAAATCCTTTCAAAGCTGCATGTGTTTGTTCAGTGGAATAGGATCTGCTGCATTTCATTCTCCTGGGTGATGCAAGGACCCACAGCAGGCAGAGGGTGAAAGTCCTTGGCTCATTGCTCCTCTGCTTCCCTCCCTCCCAGCAAGCATCATCACCTGCACAAAGCCTGTCTCTTCCTGCACCTTCACTAAAAATTTCACCTGAAGCACCTCTTCCAACAAACTATGGTAGCTGCAGGAAAAAATTTCAGTTTTACAAACCAACATCTCAAGGTGGGTTCCTTCAGATAAGCCCTGAGCAGCTCCAAGCAAGACAAGGCTGTACTTGGAGGCCACAAGAGGTGAGCTCAGCACAGGACTGAGGAAAGCCTGCAGAGAAGCACAGCAGCTCCATTCTGTGCCTCCATGGAAGGCAGGCCTCATCCCTGGCACACTCTGCACCTTGGGGCACACAGCTTGGAAAACAGCACTAGGTTACAAAGAAGAGTGTGGTTTGGATGGTGAAGGCAACTCAATCTTGGCAGCTCTGTGTTTTAAAGACAGCACTTTGGTGTTCTTCTCACTCCCAAAGCATCCTGAACTGTTATTTACAATTTCCCCCAGGCAGGCCATAAATCCAGGCACAACTAGCAATCTCAACACAGTGTAAAAGGATCCCAGAGGCAGACTAATTATCTTTGCAGGCTATGCAAGCCTATGCAGTTTTCTTCTGCACAGTAGCTTTGGAAAGTTTGGCTAATGGCTGCCACTAACAGGTCAAACTTTTCACTTTCCATTGTTCTGTTCAGGGTAGCCAGGTGGGAGTTCAGGGGCAACAAATCTCCAGGGGAAGAAATCAAGACCATTAAGGGAAAGGGAAGAGAAGCTATGAATCATGAGAGTTCTCCACACACTTTTCTGATTCCAGCAGAAAAGATAGTAAGTAAAGACTGAAAGGAAGCCTAACAGATTACATGAGGACTAAAATCAAAACCACCACCAAACAGAAAATCCTACAACTCCCATTCCCTTGAGACTAGGGATTACTTCTCTCCAAGTACTCTATTCCAAGGCGACAACTTCTTTTTTGTTTAAATTATTTAATACAGTAAAAACTCACTCCCCTCATCTCTTGAGACAGAAGGTCAGAAGATTTATCAGAGGCACAGGTGCTGCTTCTTTCACATTTTCTCATCTCCAGTCTCCATTTTCTCATCATCCACACCAGAAGTGTGCTGATGTTCAGTGTGTAGCTAATTTCACATGGATCTCTCCTAACACCTACTATCTCTGTTTAGGCATCATCTATCCAGACAGTAGTGGTTATAGGAAACACCTGAATTTTAGAGAGGGTGGGGATAAAATAGCAGACTCATATCATTGCTCTGCAGCAAGTAGTGCATGAAGCAACCAGAATGTGCCATTTTCTGAATGAAAGCCTGGGCTGACAAGCTATTGTCTGGTCTAAAGCAACACATACACTCTTTCACTCCAATCATAAAAATGTCCAGAATGAAACTTCTACTTAATTGGTATTTCCCCATGAAAATCATCAGCTGCCATCTCTTAAAAGTTAGATAAAACCCCTCATCTAGTAAGAAAAACTAACATGCTGCAACTGGGCTGTGAAAAATCCTGACAAGCCTATTGTCCAGCTGAACATCACACTGGTAATCGCTGAAGATCCCTTCCATGGAAGCCACACAGGTTAAATTACTTCCCAATAAAAGTGTAATGTCTTCAGTGGTAGTTTCATTTTTTGGAATAAGATTCTCACTAGGGATAACACGAGCAAAGGCAAGAGATTAAAAAAGAATGTATCTTGGGTACCATGTCAGGTATAACAACAAAGTGCAATACAGAGCAAACTTGTCTGTTGCAGTCAGGCCTCACTCCCCATGGCACAGACCAAAAATAAAACAAAAAACTATGAAACTTAATGCTACAAAATACTCTGTGCAAGTAAGGGTACTGTGCTAAATCATGATGGGTTAGATACCATCCACAATAGGAAGTAAATAAAATTTTATGAAGATGTACAGCAACTTCCAGGATATAATTAGATAATACTTTTCTAGAGCCATAATAAAGAGGAGAACATTTTGTGTTTTCTTTGGTTGGTGTGGTGCTACCTGTTAATTACAAACAGCCAAGGAAGCAGAAGATGCTCCCTGGAGCATATCCAAGGGACAGAAATTAGGCTGGTGGCATCTACACCAAAGGCAAGGCCTCAGAGGGGGTTTTCAGGTGCTCTGTCCACTAGTCACCCCAGATGGGAGAATGTAGATGTTTCTTACAAGCTTTCCCTCAAGTTTCTCTCAGAGATTTTTTTCCCCCCCTCATGAAGCTGACAAAAACAACAACAACACCACCCAAACAAAAACCCCAAAATTACACAACTAAAAAATAAAAAGGAGTTGATAAAAGGACTTCACAATCTTCTAACACACTTTTGCTGTAACTTTCCAATCCTGAGGCAGGGACACAGGATATTTCTGCAAGTTATAGAGGAAGTTCTGAAAAAGTGCCAGAGTACAAACTGCTAGAGGCAGCCAAAGTGGTCAGTCTCCCACTGAGCTCAATATTGCAGGGTGAAATCTACTCCCATTACACATTATGGCTATGACCCAGGTAACTTCTAGGTTTAAAAAACAACAGACAAGCCCAAACCACCTTATAACTTTTAAAATGAACTCTGAAACAGCTTCATAGACTGCTTTGTAGTAACCTAAAGAGACAGCTGCAAAAACCTCCTTAGCAAAATTTGGGTTAAAACTTTTGCAATCGATATAATTCTGGCTTGATCTGTTTGAACAAAAGCAGGAAGCCAGAGAACAGCAAACCACATACTTGATAAAAATCCATTTGTATGGGCAATGAAGGAATACTCACGCAGTGCGTACAGGGACAGGACTATTCCAGCCAGGCAAAATCCCTCGAAAAACCTGAGTGTGCTGAACATGGTCACATTCACTGAGAGTGCCACAGTCAGTCCAAATATCAAAATGAATATGACAGAGAAGAGCAGTACAGGCCGTCGACCAACCCTAAAAATAAGGAAGTACGGAGAAAAAGTGTTAAAAGCCAGGATGGACATAATGCTGGATCATTAAAACTGGCAAAGAGTAGAACAAGTCAGGCAATCCCTTCCAAATATTGCCACCCATTTTTAATGTTTGTTCCATTCTTCTCTATTTTTTTCTTACTAAATCCTAGATTTCTCTGCCAGCTTTGCATTGACAAGCTCATCTCAGAAATGATTAAGCAGCACATTGCATTGGTGCTTGATTTAACCAGCATTTTCAAAACAACAAAGATAAGTAAGGAAGCACCTAGGAACTACTGTAAAGTCATAAATAAGACCTTTGGAGATGAAAATCAACTTCTCAGAGTTTTTTTGTAGTAGCACAGAAGGATATATGGTATTATATACTCATGGCATAATATATTTTTAGTTGCAGAGGTTTCCTCTTCCCAAGAGATACGTACTTTTCAGTCTCATCTACAAGTGCAGCCAGCTCAGGAAACTACTTTTCTCGGTCTCATTTGTCAAGGAGAAGCCTAACAAATATGGACTGAACACAAAACAGGGCTCGGGTCACTTCACTGAGCCTTAGACAGTCGATAATAACACTCAGAAAAATTGTGAGGTCCAGGTCCCTCCAGCTGTATCCCCACAGCTGTTGGAGAGACCCACAAAACTAGCCTGACTAGTTTTGCGTAGGGTGAGGAATAAACCACTTCAAAAACCATTACGGGCAACAGGGGCAGAGGACTTGCAGACCTCCTTTGCAGCTGCAACTTGTAGTTGCATGTATTGGTACAGTGCTGACAAGGAGGAAGAGTTATGCCCCCACATTGAATGTGGGGGCAGCCGCTGCAGAGTTTGGCTCTTTCATGTCCAAGGAACATGACATTTTTAACATCTCTTATTCATATGTTTAGTGTTTATAATTCCTTTTCTCTCCCTTCTTTCTGTGCAAGAATGATATGAAGCACCAGAGCACATGGCTAATTTTAAGCAAGAATTGGATCATTATGTGGAGATTTCCAAAATTTTTCAACTTGTCAACTCCCACAAGTTTTCCAGTAGAACTGAGGATCCCTTTTAGTCAGCTCCATATGCCATTTTCACAAAGAATACATGAACTTGTTTTTTGTAGGCAGCTTTCACAGACCCATTCAAAGCATACTGTCAGCTGCAAGCCAGCCATCAGGTTGAATGTCAGCACAATAAAGAGCATTTAAATCTCACAACTTAGTCCAGTTTCACATGCTGTAACATTTCTATTCAATTATTTCAGCAGATTGTCACCAGCAGTTATAAAATACATTATACATATGCATTCACAATTAGAACTTTGGATTTTGCAGTACTTAAAATAAAGTAAGGAGTGAAGGGCTGAAAAAGAGATATCATTATAATTTTTTTGCATTTTTGGGAACTATAAGAGTGCACCAGTCATCATTCAGGCTTTTTCAAAGTCACACCTAAGAAAGTGTTGTCAAGGCTGCTTGCATGAGAACAGGTTTATTATTTTCAGCTGTAGTATCACCTGTGAGGCCCCTCAAAGATTTAACTTGTTGGCATTAGACATTCAAATCTTTTAAAACAGAACGAGCATGCAAGCTGGAGAAAGCAAGGTCAGAGCAGGCTGCCCTCCATCAGGGTGCAAGCACAGCACCCTGGAAGATGAGCTGCAGTGGGGCTGAGGGTGGGAACACAGTATCCCTGGCTTTGTGATGTACAACTGGGGGCATGCTGGACATGGGGAGTGACTGCTGTCTGTGTTTCAGTCTGTGTTTTTATGGAACACAGCACTTGGGCAGGGAGGGGAAATACCTCATGTAAAACCTTGAATATAGAAAAAAAAGCCTATGAACTTTGTGTTATCAGTTAGCTGCACAGAATTTTGCAGCCCCATTTTTGTTATGCCAAGCTGTAATTCATACCAATTAGTATTTGTGGAAGTGTTTTGCAGATGAAAGGCATTATGCAAACACTCAGAATTAGGAACTTAATTCTCATCACAAGCCTGACCTGCCATTCCCTGATGTTGATTGAAAAAGACCTCATGCTTAGCATACTTCAGTTCCCTTCCTCCCCTCCTCCCACCCCCTGTACTCAAGGTTACCCATCATCAGGACACAGAATTTCTTCTGCCATTATACAAGTTAAACAAATGAATGGTTGCTGCTATTGGAAAAAATCAGAAAATCCAAGAGCCTCCAGAGCCCGTAAAAATCAACTGAGGCCAGAAAAGCCCTCTGGTAAGAGGCATTTCCCCACAAGCACAAAACTAGTCATCTTCTTCACCAAGGCATGCAGCACATTTCTCAAAATTCCAAAGCTTCTGGGCAGCTATAAGCCATATATTTGGTGATCCAGCAGTATTTTGACAGGATGGTGTCCTAGAGCATTAAAAAGAACCTTTTATATGCAGAGAGAATTATCTGTCAGTACATGGAAATGCTTGTGAGAAATTAAACCATACACAATTTCCCTGGTAAAACAGCCCCAGGATTCTATCTGCTGCTATCCAAACTGTTTCAGAGTGAGATTATCACAGAAGTCTCAACCTACACTGCATGCTGTTATCTAGATCAAATGCTAAATGCTGCCAGCACAGGTAAATAACCAGGGATACAAGCAACCCTGGGCTTTTGAAGAATCTGCAGCCCCCATACGGTATGATAAGCAAATACATCAAAAAGATATTCCTAATGTCAGAGTTGCACTGCAGGAGGAGAGTGAATGGGCTGAGGACAAGCCCTGCTCTTCCCATACTCCTACACATGTACCTTGCCACCCTGAGATAATCAAGCTTTGCTCTTGCAGCTGATCAAATTGTTCTTCCCATGCCACTCTTTGCAGGTTCTCTCTTGCCTTTGGGACTGGAACTACTCAAAGGCTCCAAAAAGCATCCGAGCAGGTGCGAAGCGGGGGCACTACAGGGCAGTGAGAGGTACAGACCCACTGTCTTGGCGCTACATGGACACTGTGCCCACCTGCTCCAGGAGGAAACTTTCACACAAACCCCAACAGGCTCTGTCCAGAGCAGGCCGAAGTGCCAGCAGAACTCTGCCTGTGGAACAAGTAACTTATTCAGGCATTGGGCACAGCTGGCCTTCCCATAGCTGAGCACGTTTGCAGACCTTCCTCCTATAGATTTACTACACAGAGCTGTCCCAGTGTGCACACCTACTGTGTTTTGAACACAGAGCACTCAGTTTACTTAGCAAATTGCCTTAATACACTCTATGGCTTGTCCTCATTCAGCTTTAAAATCTTCTTTCAAAGACAAAAAGCAAAGCCCCTAATGGCATAAAACATCTTCTAATTATCTGAACTGGAGAGTGGTATATAAGTGAAATGAAAACAGATTTTGAGTTTTTATAACACTTTTTATGCATTACTCTGTTTAATCTCCCTGGTTCTTGATTGGGACTGACATACTTTTTCCTTTATTTTCTCTTTCTACCAGGAATAATCTGTACAACCCCTTCGTAACCATCTCTACACAACCACTCACCTTAGCAGAAATTCAAGCTGTGATTAAATAGCAAAGTAAATTCAATTAAGGTCTTCTTTTACCAGCCCCAAATGCTACTGCTAAACAGCAAAAAACTATTGAGCACAGGAGTCCTGCTCTGTCAGGTGCATCAGCTGGCAATGTGGACCAAATGGGAGTATGAGGACCAACTTTGGTGGCAGCAAACCACGTACATTCTAGTCATCCACAAAAGAGTCAATGATCCCTTCAGTCACCAAGTTACCCTTTTTCTCCTTTGCACCACAGCTGGAAACCAATTCTCCTAAATTCACTAGACATTTCTAGATATTTGAAAATCAGGGCAATTTTATGCTGCATTAGCTCAGCTAAGCAGCTTGCAGAGGGGTCCAACAAGCCCATGTGGCAGCACAAAGTACACACTGGGGACAGAAATGGATGGAAGCACAGGATGCTCCTTTTGGTGGCAGAGAGCTATTAAATCTGCTTACTGCAGTTCTCTCTCCAAGCCAGTGCCTGAGGCAACAAGTTGTTCACTTATTTGTGGCTTATTTGTCAATTATAGCAGCACTTTCCTAACTTGGTAATAAGTCTGCTTTCTCCACACTGATTCCATTTTAGGAAAGCCAAGCAAGATCCCTCATTCATTTCCCCTCTATACTTTCTATGGGTTCTTAGAGCCCCGTTTTACTGTGGTATTTTAATCAAATTCAACTGTATTTCATGCATGTTCTCTACTTCACTGAAAAATCATGATTTGTCTCTAGCCCAAAAATTTTCAGTGACTATTCAGGAATTAAGATGCAATTTTGCTAGGAATGCTTGATCCAAATTACTGCAGTGCTGCAGGGGGCCTTTTCTCTCCCAACTGGCTGGCAAGTTGCTGAGGTTTTATAAGATTTCCCTAAAAGGCAACTCTTCTTCTTTTCCTTTTTTTAATGAATGGCAAAAGAGTTAACTTGGGGCCATCAAAAGTACCAACACTGGCAACTGTGCTGGAAGGCACTGAAGTGACTGGGACAGCACTACAGGGCTATTGCTTAAGATGCTTCAAGTTTCCACTGAAATCACTTGAGTCATCCATGTAATTTCCCCCCCCCCTCCTGCAGTACAAGATCACCTTTTCAAATTAAAGCTGAATCCTCAGCATCATTGGGGTATCCAATAATGCTTTAACTGCCTCAATTCAAGGAATTGTGATCTACTCTTTTTAAGTTTAATACCCCAATGCTAGCAGCACATAAGTCAGTGTTAAATCCTTAATACTACATCACAATGTTTTCCTAACAAGCGCTTTAAAAAAAGAACAATTGAAAGGTTTGCAAAAAATGGCCTTCAACTCACCAATAGGTACTGTGTAAGCACAGGGCTGACATTACATTAGTCATGTATTCAGTGAAATCAATGCCGGTTCTGATTTCTTTTGGTCCTCTTGCTTTGTTAAGAAAACAAAAATCAACCCTAAACTAAAGACTTTGCTTGTATAATTAGAAAATACTTAATTCTATACTAGCTTTACAGCTGCAATAAATTGTATCAGTGGGACATAAGTAAGCCAAGTATCAAATAGTTTGTGCTACTTAGCTTGATATAAATTACTCAGGAACATTTAACAGACTTTTATACTGTTTGTCCATCATGATTCTTTCAGAACCTTAATAATCATTATGCAAATGTTCCTAATGAATATCAAAACAATATTTAATACTGTTATTTATTTATATCTACACTGCATTAAAAGATTTTTCACTTACCAGTCGGCTATACATCCTGTTATCAGGTGGCCGAAGATTAACCCTACAAGCAGGGAGAACTTAGCAATGTGGACTTTCCAGGCAGAATCACAAACAAGATCCCACTGGAAGAGAAAAAGAGATAGATAAATTGAAATAAATTAATATCTCAGGTGTGTTTAAACATACTAATATGGTGTAGATCTCTTTCCAAAGGTCAATCCTAGCACAACTGCAAGGAGATGGAAAAGGAGAGGAAAGCTTTCCCCCTCAAGTCTAACCCCAGACCCCAAGAAGCAACGCAAGAACTCATTTACCTCAGTGAGTTTTATCAGATCCTTAATTATAAGATGACAATATCCAACACTTAAGGGTCCCTGTCTCCAGGCCACAGGAGGTTAGCCTAAGGGGAAATCTCCATCAGGCACTGGCAGTACCACTGGTGCTGCTGGAGCATCTCACCATCCCAGCCCCAGACAGCTATTACCAGAGCCCCAAGAAGGCCCCCAGCAGCAAGCCCAATAATTTAAGAGCAAATGCTCAAATTAATATCCCCAGGGCTGCTTGGAAACATGGGGAAAAGCAGCTCCTTTGCCACAGACCCCTAATGGCCATTTGCTCCAAGCTCTTACAGTGTCAAGATGCTTTTGCTTTCAGAAAAGCATCTTGATTTCCCTAAGTGGTGGAAGGGAGATGAAGACTGAATAAAGGCACAGCTTGTCAGGACAAGTCCTGACATGGAGACTGCCAGAAAAGCTGGAAGTCCCAGTGCAGCCATGCAACTTCTTGGGACAGCAACCCCACAGTGACTTTCTCACAGCTTGGAGACCAGATAGGATTTGAACCTCCACAATAAAGCTATGCTAATACTGAAATTAACTTTTCTGTCCAAAGAAAGGGGAAATGGACCATTTCAGGTAACCTGTTACTAGGGCACTGCCTCATTCCCAGGAGAAAGATAGGAGCAGCAAGATTTCTAGTGAGGCTTCCCTAAATTCCAAGTCATTTTCCTCTGAGGCAGAGGAAACCAGAAGAACCAGACTGCATTCCTGGCTTTAGCCCAACATCCTCATTGCTCTCAGACATGTAACATAATCTTTCTTATGTGTAAAGTGTGGATAGTTACTCTTGTACCCTTGAATAAATCTAAGAGGGTATGCTTCCCGTGGTTTGTGAGGTGTTCAAATATTGATGGTAATGGCAGCCACACGCTTTTAATGACAAATAAGTACAGCTAACTTTGTAGAGTCAGATACTCCAGAATTGAAACTTTGCAGAATAAATGGCTGTTTGTGTGTAATGTAACAGTAGCAGCCCTTCTGACACCAGTAACTGAGGTTTCATAGTATGAAAAACACAAAGTTAAAGTATGCAATTTATTTTTAAGTCAGATGCAACTTCAAAAAAAAACTTCCCTCAAAAGGGTTCAATTAGGTGCACTGTACTTTTAAGCATTTCCATGACGCACAGACCTTCCATAAACAAGGCAAGACTCTGGTCCAACACCACAGATGTCCTCGCTACAATATATACCTCACCAAGAGGTATAGCAATTTTGTGGCCGAAAAATGTGCCAGCACTCAGGCTCAGGCTTTTTGTTTAAGTTAAATGTATTTTGAGTTTCCCACTGCACTGACTTGTAGAAATTGGGACATATATGTCTCATCTTCCACCCTACAGACTGGAGGCACTAAAGAAACATAAGCAAGTAGTATGAGGAAGGATTTTTTCCACCTAATACCTATGAATAATTTGCAGCAAAGAACTGAGCAAGGCACTGTGGATTGCACTCCAAAAATGTTGACTTTTCAGAAGCAAGTAGAGGAAATGCAATTGCCAATACTAGCAATTCTAGAACCAATCTCCAGCTAGAAAACAAAAATATCTGCCCAGACAAGCTACAAACAAAACAAAATTCAGAAGACACATCTGAGGCAGAGGCAGGCTTTAAAATTCTCCAGATTAATTTTCACAATCCAGAAGGTGTATATGCTGCTTAAAACTGAGAAATAATTTGTCAAAAAAAATTAAGCTTATTAAAAATACTCATATTTATCCAAGAACAGAGTTAAAAATTCAATCATTCATTTTTATATTCATTGATGTCAGAGGAGCAGTAGTGTCCTCCAAGAGCAAAAAGAAAAAGGAGATATCCTGGTGCCTTTCCATTTGCACTGCTTGCTGTTGCTAGCCAGCGATAGCCGGCCCTCACGCACGCCGCAGGCAGGGAACGCACAGTACCAGATTACATGTAGGCAAAGGCTTGTGGCTGGAAGAGCCAAAATCTCATGAAGGGCTGTTGTGAAATTTCGGTCCAGGACAACAGATGTCAAACCCCTCTGGCACACTGGCACAGAAAGCAAGAGTTTAAAAGCAGGAGAAGAGTCAGTCTGTCAGCTTGTCCTTTAGCGGTGCCCAAAACACACCCACTCCTCTCGATAACTTATCTGCAAGTCATCCTTTGTTTGTTTGTTTTTGAGGCTATTGTCCAACTCCCCAGCTGCTCTGAAAACAAAAACATCTATTTCCTTGCAAACCCTGCATCTGGCCCTCTCCTGCCCTCTGTTAAGCCTCACTGTAGGCCAGCAGAAATTGGAGCTGATCCTCCAAGCCCACATGGGCAGACTCTTGACAGACCAGGCGGCCCCTGACCTTTCCAAAATATCTCCCTCTGCAAAACCCTCCAAATTTGTAAATACACAAATAGTGAAATATATCAACAGTTGTTTAACACACAGTTCCGGAGAATCTGCCATGACCCCAAATTACTTGCTCAGTACTAAGAGCTGAATTACATCCTGATTTCTCCTCTGGCAGCTGTCACAAACCAGAGAGAGGTCACCATGAAGCAGTTACCCAAAATAAATTTGGCAGGACAGTTGTAGGTGCCACCAGGACATTCAACTTGCAAAGGGAGATGAGAATAAGGAGAAGGAAGAAAAATGGATGCTGGCGTCAAAAGCAGACTTAGGTAAAGATGACATTAATAGGACAAAATACATATTTAATAGCGAGAGTATAATTCTCACATATCTTAACATGGCAGCCAAGCAAACCAGCAAATGCTAAAAGCACTGGCATGCTGAAAGCACAGAGATTTTGCCAGAGATTTATGTTCCCCCTTCCCTTCCCCATGGAAAAGTCTCATCTTTGAATAGCAAGAAATAAAGCAGGAGCCTTTATACAGCAGTGCTGCCTCTCTCCTTACATACACCTGGGCTCGGCAGAGCGGGACAGAGCTGATGTGCCCACATGGCACAGCCATGCCCAAAGCCAGGGCACAGCTGTGGCAGGTCCTGCTCCAAGCAGCAGTAGTTTCATCCTGCAAAGATGACACTCAGATTTGTTCCAAGGAGAAAGGAGTGACAAGTTCCCATGCAGAACAAAACACTGGGGTGGGCAGAGCTGATGACAGTTCAAGTGGCACTCCAAGTAAATCTGAACCAGGAGATTGTTTTGGCTGGAGACTGGACAGTAATCCTCTACCACTTCTTGCAAAGGGTAGATTAATCTGTTACAAGCAGGGAAACCATTAAATCCTATAACTGCTCTGGTTCAATCCCCTGGTATCCCACTTGGGAGCTGACAGTGTCAAGCCTGAAGAAAGGATTCTTCTAACCTTTCCCTGGGATTTCTCTGTGTGTCGTATGTCTTTCTGTCCTGCATCCATCCTCCCAATAAAAGAAAGAGATCAGATAAAGTGACTTGCGAAACAAAAAGGACTGTATTGTTACGCCAAAACAAAAAAAATTATATTTATAATATATTGGTGGAAAGGGAACATTAAAGAGCAAAAGCTTCTTTTTCATAGCAGTACAGCAACATAGAGAATTTGCCACCTATGCAGATGTGCAATGTATTGCAAGTATTTCTTCATGTTGCAACAGGGTATTTTGGTCAAAGCTGAAGGAGGCACATCTTCAGGAGCCTGAAGTTTAACTGGTATCAGTGAGTCACCACCCATGTTGTGACTCACTATAATTCATGGCAAGATGAAGGACTATTTAAAACACGGTATTCTTGAGAAGACACCTGGCAAAAGGTAACGCACCCAAATAGTAACCATCGTGTAATTTCTTTACGAAGGGTGAAAATCTGGACGGGGCTCATGCAGTGCATCAATATTTGCACCGCTATAAGTTATAAAAGTAGTCTGCTGCATGTTTCTAGCTACAAACACAAGCTGTCTGAATTAAGGGCTCTTGTCTCAAAAGCCCTTGTGCTCCAGTGGCCATAATGCTGTCTGTGGTGCCTAAGCACACTGAATACCCACTGCTGAAAGGTAAGATGCCTGTTGAGGATTTGGCTGCTTCTACCTTCACCACCTTATCATGAGATATGCAAGGCAAACCCTTCTGTCCTAAAAAGGAGCAAGGAGTGGAGAAAGCAGGAGAGATTCTCTGGTGCAACACTAACCCAGAGTGGCACAAAAGGCCCACGAGAGGGGCACTGGACACGCACCCCCTCTTCCCATACTGTGGTTTCACAGTCTGCTTCCAATGCTCAATGCCCAGATTGCTGCTGAAAGAAAGCAGCCCCTTCCCCAAACAGTCTGTAGGTGGACTGTAGCTCTGCTGTGAATTCTCTCTGCAGTGGTTTCAGCAAGACACCAGAGGATCACCAGAGCTGCTGCCTTGGAAGGCTCCAAGCCAGGCATGAAGCTGCAGCCTTGGTCCTTCCCCAGCCAGGCAGCACCTGGCTGCTGTGTCAGCCTTCACACTCTCCATCTTGATGTCTCATATGCCACCTATCACCTCCCAGTCCCTTGAGTGAAGGTCCCACTTGGGGAGTGCTGTCCTCTACATATCATGTAAGCCACAGCAGCATCAAACCTGCCTGGGGAAAAGTCACCAGCTTGCCTGCTGATTAGGAAATGACTTTAAGACAAATAAATGAAAATAAGAATCGATTCTTCATCACTGAGGTATGCTGGGTCTCGTCTTCCTTTGTTCCTCTTCTTCCGGTTCCATCTTTTTATAACCAAAGCCTGCCAATTTACCCTACACAGAACTAGAATCCATCTTCTATACAAACACCTTATCTAGTGAGACTTTAAATATGTTATGCCTTCATATTATCGTAGAATGGAATGGTTTTTTTCCTTAAAAACCCCAACAACCTGAAC